GGGTGCTTAGCCTGATGCTGATTCTCCTGTATATCCGGAGGAGGCAAATGGTTTTTCACAAATGCCACGCTCAGGGGTGGCTCAGCAGGTAAAGACATCCGCTGCCAAGCCTTACAACCTGAGTCTCAGGTACCTGAACCCACATAGAAGGAGAGAACTGACTCTGCAATTTGTCCTATGACTCCCACATTCATGCTGTGGTAGGACCACATGTGTGTACATGCACACATGCCGATGCACACACACAAAATAAGAATATGATAAAAAAAAAATCTTTGAGTGAGGAAGAATGCCTTTCTGAAGTTGGTAGTCTTGCCCGTCCCCTATGCTTATTGTATTTAGTCCTTTAATTGGGGTTGTGAATGAGAAGGGCAAAAGTTTCTCAACTAGCTCATCACATAGATACTGAAACTTAGTTCTTCAGATACGAGGCTCTAATAATTGTTCTTGCCTTGTTTGTTTTCTTCTGGCCTCTTTATGAGAAGCTAGGGAGGAACAGTGGTCTTATGAACTCTGTTGTTAGAGATGTCCTAACTTTGGTTGTCATGGTTGCTGTGATATGGTTGCCTAAACAAGACTGTAAAAGTGGACACCACCATTGAAATGCCAACATGGAGGAGGAGTTCTCACGAGACTTGATGTCTAGAAGAATAAAAACTAGGAGCAGTTGAAGGAAGGCTGCTGGGAGAGGAGGAATCGGTCTTTCCAGGAACAAGCCCTGTAGGTCTCAGTGAGTAATTTTAAAAAGAAAAACAAGTATTCAAAAAAAAAAGTCAAATTAGTAAGACTTCCATTTCTCTGTATTCTAGTAGGGACAGACACAGACTTTTGCCTCTGAATCCTTTCCTCTCATCCAGAACCTATACTTCAGTTAACATTGGCAGGCTCAAAATCCTGTAAGCATCTCTAGATTCTGGCAAAAATGCATTTCCAATCTCAGTTCCCAGACTGTTCACAGTGTTTCTCTAGCATAATGAAGCCTTTGGCCATCACTGCTACTTTGAAAATCAAAGCTTTTTGGTCTCTAATGGAATGTTTATAAAAATGCACCATTTTGAAATTTGCTAAGGAAAAGGAAGTAGTGTTAAATGATACTTAGAAATCCCTCTGGCTTGCCTTAGCATTGCTTCATTTAATGGTGTGTACTCTGGAAATATCTGGAATTAGTAGGAATAAGAGAGTATTAAAAGTGAAAGATAAATAAGCCCCTGTGTTCATTATCTTACTTTGTGGAAGTATGCCATTATATGTGTTAGCTTAGTTGTTATTTCTGTGTGAGAACTTATGTTTTGCCAAATTTAATAAAAGTGTCTTGGAATCACTGAAACTTCCCTGACTCCCGTGTCAAAAATCCATCTACTCAGTCTTACTCAGGTGAAAAGGAAAGCTCTCTGGACCAGGTTGTAAGAATGCTGAGCCTATAAGTAAAAGGCTGTGCTATATAAAGTCTGCAATAGAAAGCTACATGCCATTCCATTCCTTTCCATATTGTAAATAAAAAAGAAGGCACATGTATGAAATATATTTAGTGGTAGCTATCAAAATATTCACACATGAAAGGACAGAGGGTTTAGCTTATTCACCCTATAGTGTTGGCTCCGCCTTAACGAGCTAATGTAGCTTAAAAAAGGGGGCTGATACTTACATCAGATGTTTAACCCCAACTCCTGTCTATCATGGACTCTCTTTAGCATCTAGCAATGGATGGAGACTGAGAGGCCCCCTATCCCAGGCCCATCAGCTGTAATAGAGGAGCCAGAAGACAAATCAGTTCTGTCAGTTCGCCTGTTAGCATGGTTAGAAAAATTCTCATCACTCAGTATTTTATGCTTGTGAAGTGTTAAAATGGAACTTTGGGGTTCTGAAATCATTGACCTTGTAGAAAACAGCCTAACTTTTTCAGTGAGTTGTACTTTGCCTGTCCTTTGGGCAGGGGTGGAGGAGTGCTTCTTGTGAGTCCTTTTTTAAAACTTTCTTTTTATTCTTTGTGTCTTTCAAATTATGCATCCCGATTCTACCCATCTCCCATCCCCTCACATCGGCCCCCTGCCCCTGCAGCCCTCCCAAAACTAAAACAAAATTTAAGAGGGGAAAAAAGGGGGAGAAAGTGTGTGTGGGGGAAATCTCATCGTGGAAGCTGCAGTGTGACACAGTGAGTTACGTGGTAAACCCCTTTATCAATGCATCTTTACATGCAGGTGTTCATGGCAAAGAATCATTGGTCTAGTTCGAGGCTCCTGGTCTCTGCTACACCATCACTGCTGGGCCCTCACCAGGACTCTTCCTGGGTATCAACACATAACCCTGGTTCTGGGCCTGGGTAGTTGCAGGGTTGATCAGGCCCCCAGTGCTCCCCTGTCTTCACTACCAGGGTGAGCTCTCCTGCATTGCCCTGGTTGGTTCACCCCTTGCAGCCATGAGCATGAGATGGGGCCAGTTCTCCTGCTTCCACATGCTTGTCCTTAGTATATGTTCAGATGCTGATGTCTGCTAGTTTCCACGGCACTTCGGCTTTTCTCTCCAAAATACAATACAAAAAATATGACTAGGAATATCACTGACTTCATCTCAGAACCTTTATACTTTGCCAGGCGGATCTCTGTGAGTTCAAGGCCAGCCTGGTCTGCAGAGTGAGATCCAGGACTGGCACCAAAACTACACAGAGAAACCCCATCTCCAAAAAAAAAAACAAAAAGAAAGAAAAAAAAAAGAATTACGTAGGGGCTGGGGAGATGGCTCAGTGAGTAAGAGCTCTCACGGCAGAAGCTCAGGGATCTGAGTATAGATTCCCGGCACACCTAGAAAGCTATGCCCGGGCATATACACTACTGTCGGAAGCAGGGACAGGAGGACCACTCTAGCCAGAATACAGCATGCTCTAGATTCAGTGAGAGACTCTGTCTCAGCCAATAAGGCCAAAAGGGAAAGAGGACACCCCATGTCCTTTAGCCTCTGTACACACACACACACACACACACACACACACACACACACACACACGGAAGCATTCCTTATTTGTCACTAGTTCCTAGTGACATCCGTAGCATCTGATGTGTTATCTAGTAGCATTATTTGATTTTTAAATCATCTGGTTTTTTTATGTTTTTTAAGATATCTATGTTATAAAGTCTGTAGTTAAAAATGAATCTCTGTGAGTAAATGTGAGGCTGTCATTTTTGCTCTTTGCATTAAATAAACATGCTACACAGTTTTTCCATTTAAAAACATGCAGGTTGAGTATGCCAGAATAGTTTCAATCAGGAACTCACAAACATGTTTGCAGAATGCACTCCAAAGTCTTTGGCCACCTTTCTAAAGTTCTCTTACAGATCATCTACATCTCTGCCATGGACTATATTTAGAAGCCAAAATGTTTTTTAACAAAGAAAAGCTTCTGTTATTGCTTAACTAAATGCTCATAGTAGCAAACTTTGTCTTAAGATGAAGAGGTTTGCTCCTTTAGTTTTTGTTTTTATTATGTCTCTTGCTTTTGTCTTGCATTTTGGAAGTTGAAGGCAGTGTGCTCTGGGAGTTGAGTTAATTGCAGTGAGCAGATCAATATTCAGCAATCGCGTCTTTTAAAGCCCTTTCTATCCTGAGATGTGAGGATTCTATATTTACCTTTGCTCTTGCTGTTTTCTGTCAGTAGCAAGAGAGCAGAGAGCATGTCAGTGCTCTGCTGGAGAAATGGGCCCGGAGTTTAGGAGATGACAGGCACTGAGTGGCTGTCTAGGACATGTGGTTGACTACAAGGTACAGTTGCTCTTGGCTCCTTGTGCTCTTTCATATGTTTTAAAGCAGATACATTCCCTTAGTTGTAATCATTTTTGTAACTAGGAAGAAAGAAGACAAAGATGGCAGTTTTTAGAAGATACCTTCTCAGATACCTTCCTGCAAACAGACAGCTCCCACATTCTTAGAGCTGGTTAGATGGGAGTTATCAGGAAGATGGCTAAAGCTCTGAAGAAGTGTGAGGCAGTGAAGGGGTTTTTCTTGTCTCCTATGCAGGCGGTTTCCTGTAAAGAGTTCTCCCCCGTTATCAGATAGAATTAGCTTAGGCATTTAATGTGGTTTTGCGCTGGAATAATCTGTGCCTCTAGCCCGAGATGTACCCCAACCTGTACTAGCTGCTAAAATCATTTTCTCAACTGAACCCAGTACCCACTCTTGATGGAATAATGGAAAACAGATAGTACTGGGTAAAGAGGGAATTTTTGATGTTCTTTCTAGTAATTCTCAAATATTCCCTTTCAGAAAGTATAAAAATGTTTTTATGCGTAGTATATTGGAACCACAAGCACTGACTTCGTATTTCAAAGTTGGAAAAAATGAGATTGATGTCCTACACAGTTGTAAAATGCTGAAAATAAGGAGAGCTGAAATGAATTAAAGCCTAGTGTTGAGAAAGGCCAAGAAAAAGCTTCATATCAACAGTGACTGTAATTGAAAGGGTCCAAATAAGTATTTAAAACCTCCTCTCCTGAGACGTCTAGGATTTCTGAATTTCAAATTGACATTTTATGTTTGACAAGGTGACATTGTATAAGAAATGTATTGTAAAACACTGCTGTACGATAGGAAAATGATTGAATGTAAATATTTCAAGATGTGGACCACTGTTCAAATGTTATCATAAATCTTTGCCATTGTTTTAGGGGATAACTCTTCATGCATATGTGAGCTGGATTGATAGCTAGCTCTTGGAAAGGAAACCATCAGTGGATTTCTGCCTTTGTCTCAAATATTAGTCTGACTTTACCACTAAAATGTCTTATTAGATTTTTTCTGTTATGTGCTTCATATTGTGCATTATGCACGTGCAGTCACTTTCTGAGGGCACTACACTAGCATTGCTTTTGTCCTATTCAGTTAAGTGTTCTGAAATGTCACTGTTACATGATTGCAACTGTCACTATTATGTGGGCTGGGACAGTTTGTGTTTAAATTTTGCAAAGAAAACAACCCAGGCTGTGTCATTAACACCCTTCTCTTCTTTTCAGGTTTGGAAGGTTTACCATTGCTGCTCTTCAGTCCAAAGTAGAACAGTACGAACGTGAAACCAATCGCCTCAAGAAAGCTCTAGAACGAAGCGATAAGTACATAGAAGAGCTAGAGTCTCAAGTAGCACAACTGAAACATTCAGATGAGGCAAAGGGAGAGATGGATGCCCTTTGCCAGAGGGCACCCTCTGCAGATGGCAAGGGGTCCAAAGGCAGCGACGAGGTTGCGGCATCAAAGAGTCAGGGTGACAGTGCCAGGAAGCAGGCTGGCTCAGCCACCTCCATTTCGGCTCCTCACCTGACAACACCTAGCAGCAGACTCGCTGACACCAGTTCTGTCAGACAGGAAAGCACCAGCAAGACTGAACCAAACTGTCCCAGGAACAAAGACAGGTACCCCAAGTCCACAGAGGTGCTGCTGGCTATGAGGGAGGCACCAATGGATACTTATTTGGAAGGAGAGTGGGGCAGTAAGCCAAGTGACTGCGCACCCTACAAAGAGGAAGAGCTTTATGATCTGCCAGCTCCTTGCACTCCTTTGTCCCTTAGCTGCCTTCAGCTCAACACTCCAGAAAACAGAGAGAACTCTGTAATCAAAGGAGGAAGTTCCAAAAAGCATGCAAACCATCTGAGAAAACTGGTATTTGATGATTTTTGTGACTCTCCAAATGCCTGTAATAACAATTCTTCAGAGGATGATATAAGTAGAAGCGAAAATGAAAAGAAATCAGATCGTTTTGCTTCCCCCAAGTCAGGATTTTGGGATTGTTGCTCCACAAGCTATGCCCAAAGCTTGGAGTTTGAAGGTTCAGAGGGGAATATAATAGCAAATTCTGTTGGGGAAATACCTTCAAAATTGAGTGAGAGGTCAGGCTCATGCTTGTCTAAGAGACTAAATTGTATTCGCTCTCTTGAAATGAACCGGACAAGAACATCCAGCGAAGCATCCATGGATGCTGCTTATCTTGACAAAATCTCCGAGCTGGATTCCATGATGTCGGAGTCTGACAACAGCAAGAGTCCCTGTAGTAACGGGTTTAAGTCAGCGGAGCTGGAGGGGTCCTCAAAGTCACCTCGGGGCAGTGAGCTTCTGGAGGAACCTGACAAGCTGGAAGAAGGCCCCAAACTGAATCTTTCCAAAAACGCTCTCACTCCCGACCAGTTAGAAAATGGAAGCGAGTGGAAACCCACTTCTTTTTTTCTCCTCTCTCCCTCTGACCAAGAGATGAGTGAAGAGTTTTCTCTCCACCCCACTTCTAATTCAGGCGCCAGTGAGATCAAACCCCAGAGCTGTTTGTTTCAGACAGAGTTTTCCCAGGGTGTTCTGTTGAGTGGTTCCCATGGACTGTTTGAAGAGCAGAGGTTTGGGTCTTCTTTATTCAAGATGTCCTCAGAGATGCAGAGCCTTCACAACCACCTTCAGTCTCCGTGGTCCACTTCCTTTGTGCCTGAGAAGAGGAGTAAGAATGTGAATCAGTCAACAAAAAGAAAGATACAGAGCAGCCTTTCCAACGCCAGCCCGTCCAAAGCAACGAAAAGCTGACTCACCAGAGAGATGTCCTTGTGGCTTTGGCCTGAGCGGGGTGTGGATGCTTTTAATATTACTGTAGTCACTTCATGAAGGTTCTATAAAATCCCGAACTGATAACCTTCAATGAAGTGTCAAGTCAGAGAGGTGGGTTTACCTGTTTCCAGGGCACTTCATCTTGAAGAAACTTTGGTCTTTTCATTGGTGATCTTTCTTACCAGAAAGGTTAGGGGGGAGGGTTTCATTTGTCTCTGTATTGTTTGTTGTTTTGTTTTAAATGAATGTTTATATATCTGTATTGGCTAAATGTTGTTATCTCATATTTAACTGTTAAGTATGGTGGCCTGTTAACTGTCCTCAGAACTTGTGTTTCTTAGAACCTTTGGTATTGTGTGCACCATTCTTTAAAGCTATTTCTAGAGTGGAAATGATTTTGTATGTCCTTTTTTTATTTATGTTTAGTGTTGGCCTAATTATTATGTAAGGCCATGCTGGAGAAATCGTACTCTGACCATAGAGTATTCACTAACTTTTTCTTAGGTTTTACATAGTTACTTATAGCTTGTTTCATTGTGTCCTGTCCATTTTGTATGTGTGTGTGTCTCTGTGTGTGTGTGTGTGTGTGTGTGTATGTGTGTCTGTGTGTGTGCATATGTAAAGTTAGAAACTGTTATGTATTGGCAGGCATGGATCAGTTGGGTTGGGAGGAACTTGAACATCCTAGCTTCATTTTCCAGATGTGTAGGTAGAAAAGCAGTCTGTTAGGTTTTTGATCCATTGTGTCACAGGGAGCCTTTTATGTGATAAAGTTCTTGTTTGCATGTCACTGTTCACTGGGAACTGTACGCATGGGAGCCTTTTTGCTTGCTCCATTCTCCATCCAGAGGAAAAAGAAGTTCCTATTGGCTAATAGAATATCGATTATGTAGAACAATTTTTTTTTTTTTTTTTTTTTGTGAAAAGTAACAAGTGGGAATGGGAATATGTAAGAGCTAAGCACAACTTTTAGTTTAGGCTTTAAAAAGTACATTATTTTAAACATGTTTGGTATGCCCATATAGGCTGTAAAAATGTGTATGCTAATAACTTATCTAATGTGCACTGAACATTTTACATGTATTGTCTTACCTTAACACTGCATGGTTTTTTATGTGAAGTGAATAAAGGATGCCATATGCACTACATGTCTTTGATGTCATCTCAGATAATGAATTAGCCTTGGATACTATTTTCAATTCATTTTAAAATACAGCTATTAACCCAACTATGGACCTAAGGTAGTATGTGCCTGTTTGTGTTTGTAGTGCAGAGGCTGGAGCCCAGGACCTTGTGGATGCCAGGCCAGTCCTCTACTTCTGAGCTGCAGCCTTACCTGCACCTGTTTTGGAAAGGTCTATGAGAAGAAAAAAAAAAAAGAAGGAAAGAAAAAGAAAAATCAGAGTTTTGTAATGTTCCTATGTACATTTTTTTTAATAAAAGAAAAAGGTACCCTGTGCCACAAGAAAATGATCTGAAATTCAAATTATGTTTCAAAATAAAGGCTTATTGGGACGCTGCTGCACTGTAAGTGTCTGTGTCTGCTCCTGAGAGGAGCAGGAGCAGGAGAGTGGAATACTTGTAACAGCAACTGTGGCTTGGAAAGCCTAAAATATGTACTGTCTGCCCTTTTCCTTAAGAATTTGCTGACCCTTGTTATAATAGACTCTGAGGATTCAAGGAAACCATAAAAAATACAACAAATCACTTTTATGATCTAGAGAATCATGTTCTCCACTTTTAGAAGAAACAATAACCAAGGGGAGAAAAGCTAACAGGGTAGTATTTGTTTTATCATACATATTTTCCAGGAATTCATTTTTTTGCCATGGTAAAACTAATGGATATTTTCAGAGCTGGTGACAGTTTAAACATCTTTGATGATACAGTTAGTTATACATTTAGAATTCATATAGAAATTAAGGATTTTTGTCATGGTAAATATAAGAGTGCTGTAGCCTGAATATCCCCCAAATTACTTATATTGAAGTCTAACCCCCAAGGCACTGATATTAAGAGCTGGGACCACTGGAAGTGGTCAAGTCATAGAGGAGTGGTGTTAATGACCACACTTGCCTGCCTCTTCTAGACATAGCCAGTAGCCACTGTCTTTGCAGCAGAGAACAGGTCCATATCAAACCCTGTATCTTCTGATACCTTGATTCTAAACTTCTAGCCTACAAAACTGCAAGACATTTCTATTTTTTTCTATGATCAGCCCAAATGGGCCAAGACAACCTCACAAATTCCATAATCAAGAGTGTGTCTATTTTTAATCAGTTTGCGTACCACCATTATGCCATAGAGGTTGAAATTTGTAGCCTAGTTTTACCAATGACTAGCATGGGTGAGTGCATCCTTCTTGGGCCAGAATATTTCTTAGATGCTTACCTTCAAAAACATCCTTCCATCCTCCCTTAAAAAATATTTATTACAGTGATGTATATTAAAACCATCATCTTCCTCAACTACAGGGGTAATTGTATAGGATTTGACTCCAGTCACATTCTTGTCTCCCTTACTCTCAGTATCTGATTTCCTAACAAACGGTTAGTTTTTTCCACAGATTTTCAAATGTGCATACTATGTCCACTCTGAACAAAGTACCATTGAAGGGTTGGGAATGTAGCTGGGCTGGTGAAGTCCTTTCCTGGCAGGCACTGCATAAATCCTATGCGATGCATCACACCACTGATCCCAGCAGTTGGGGGGTGAAAACTAGATGATCACAGTGATTAAGAACACTGGCTGCTCTTCCAGAAGACCTCTTCCAGTCTCAGCACCCAGGCAACTCAAGGGATCAGCCAGCCTCTTCTGGCCTCTGAGGGCACGTTTGCACGTGGTGCACAAACACAGGCAAAGCAAGCACACATATAAAAGTTTTTGTTTTGTTATTTTAGTTCAAAGTCATCCTCAACTACACATCAAGATAAAGGCCAGCCTGTGGTACAGGGGACTGACTGAAAAAACAAACTAAAACACTTGAAGCCAAATATTTTTCTATCCTCCATTTCATATGATTCACTTGGAAAACTTCCAATTTGTGGAAGCCCAAGCAGAGTCAGTAACCACACGGCTGGAATGGTATGGAACCATAGCTTGGAGCTGGATGTCCAGCTGCAGAGGAGATTATCTTCCTTGTCCACATTTGTACAAAAAAAAAAAAGAAAAAGAAAAAGGTGAGTGTGGTTGGAGTTTCTCAAGGATTCTTTTTAATATGTCTTGGGAGTATCCGTGTGTTTCTAAGTAACATTCAATTTCTGCCTGTTTTCTTGAGTCTAATCTGGTTTGTTAGGATGTCTGGTGGCACAGTTGTTGAGCACACGGTGCTTTTCAGGATTCCCATTAGCTGACATTTGTATGAACTGGACCTTGCCCATTGGTTCATTTCACTTAAGCTATCTATGTTGGAAAATGGTAACACTTGTCCAGACACACTTGGTAAGGACAGTTCATGTTTTTATAGGAACAGCTTTTGATTGTTACTCTCTAAAAAGCTATATCTACTTAGCTCTCTAAACAAGATGTTAGAGGCTTCTTGTTAGGACAGTAGAGTCCTCTTCATTAAAAATCTTCATTCCATTTAAAAGTTAAAAGTTTTATTGAATTAGCTAACACACACACACACACACACACACACACACACATCCTGAAAGAGGACCAAGCTTTACAGCCCCCTGGTTTCTAATCTGCATGGCTTTCCTCTTTTTGCTGTCTGTTGGCTTGGAACAAAGGCACCACTGAACAAGGGGAGACCTTGGTCTTGGGCTGTGTCATGTTTCAGGACCATATTGTTTCTGCAGACCTGATGATTTCTAGTATTAAAAATGTAACACATACAGGGGATTTTCTCCCTCATGCTGTACCTGTGGATGGTATGTGCAGAGAGTATCAAATTGAAATGAACAGTTCTCGGTGTGCAGCCTGTTAGACTAGAAGAGTTTCCCAAAGCCTCACAGAAGGTCTTCCATCCCTGTCTGTGGGAGTCCTACAAAGCAGCCCTCGCCTATCACTATGTAACCCGATCCCCTTAATAATACTTGGCAGAGAGAAAACCTTTTAAGCAATGATCTCAGAGTGCAGAGTGAACATTTATTGCCTAATTCTCGGAACCCTACTCACGGCGAGGAAGCATCTATTAAGGCACAGATTTAAGAATCCATCTGGAGCACGGCTAGGGTGAGCTCAGTTTGGTGTGACTGTGGCAGTCTAGAACACCTTGAGTTGCAGTACCTCTTTCTCAGTAAGGTCTCTGGTTATGTGATAGAGAGCAGTGGGCGGTCTCTAATAAAGGTTGGATGGATTAAACTGTTGTGTAGACCTGAGGACTTTTTGTGTTAGTTAGGGTCCAAAGACCCATTCTCCAAAGGGCAAAGATTTGCTTCAGGCATTTACCAAAACTTCTGTGAGGAGAGAGGATGGAATTTTGGTCCTATTTTATTCTTACAACATAGGTGAAGGGTGAGGACGTCTGGAAGCTTCACAGAGGTGTTTTCTGCTTAGAGTCTTGAAAGGTGAAGACGAGTTCGTTCAGAAGAGGACCTCTCTTGTGCGTGTCTGTCTGAAGGGGAAATGTTTTTTAGCAGCCTTCTTGGAAGAGGTACGGAAGGCAAAAGCTCCTAACGACAAAGGGTTTCCGGTATTGCTCCAGCCACAGCTTTCAAGTGGAGCGTCGCTCCTCCTCTTTTCAGAATCCCCCGAGACTCTGGGTCTCGCTCCAGCCGCCTGAACCGGCGGCCTGGTGACGAGACAGCGGCTCCCTAGGCGCTGGGAGGCTTTGGAGATGGCGGGGCCGGCTATCTGCTGTCCATTAAGGCGAGCTTTGGCCCTCTGAGGGCTTGGGGAAGGTCACCCCAGGGTTTAGGGTGCGGAGGTGGGGTCTGGCCCACCCGCAGCAGCTCAGTCCCTTTCCCCACTGCTCATCCCTAGGAACTCAGCCATTTGGGATCCCTGCCAGCTCCCCCTCTGCCCAGCCCTCCCCTTCGCAGTCACTAGGGAGGACCCACCCGCCCCAGATCCTCCAGCCCAAGTTTCCCGCGCTCTTGAGGGCGCTCTTGGCTGGTCCTTCCCAGGCCGCATTCCACCAGCCGGTTCCCGTGGTTTCCTTTCATTTTATTATCACTCTCGAAACCTGGCGATTAAGACGCGAAACCAACAAAGAGTTTTCTTTCCACCTTAACCTTGCACACAATCCTTTAACAAATTAATTAATCCTAATGAATTAACACTTCATTTATTTAAACGCGCTACAGTCCATGAATTAAATTTTCATGCAGTGATTAAAGGCTGTTAAAATATGCATGATTTCGTTAAAATTTTATAATAAATCAGGGCAATGTGTTACATGACAAGGCAACTATTTCCCAGTCCCTCGCAAGGGGCTTTGATTTGTGCGGGCGGCGGGAAGGAGGGGCGGCTGGCGGCAGCGCAGCGAGCTGGAGAGCCGGGCGGCAGGACCCAGCTCTGCACTCCCGGGCTTGGACTGGCTGCCGCGCGGTTTCCTCCACGGCTTCCAGACCCTCGAGGGATCCAGTTTCTGGAGGCCGAGGGGAGCCAGCGGAGGCCGGCGAGCGCACCCTTCTCCATCCTCACAATGTCCCTTGGGCGGAACTGCTGGTCCTCGCCGCCGGTAGCGGGTCCCAAAAGCAGGGCGAGCGTGTGTCCGGGACCCAGCGGCCGGTCAGCGGGTGTCTGACACGGGAAGGCTACAGAACTTGCATCGTGTCGCGTGGGGTCAGGGGCCAGCGTACCTGTGGACGAGTTTGTCTGTCGTTTTTTTTTTAACCCGGGGACCTGGACGCGCCTTCTCTGAACGGCGGGCTCCTCCAGCCTTGAGCCCGCAGGGCGCAGATGGAGCAGTGGAGCCTCTGTTCTTCAGGGCCCTAAACCCCAGGGGCCGGTGGCCTTGTTAAGCCGACAACAGTGATCGTTTGACCTGCAAAAGTAACAGTGTCGACTGACAGGCAGGGAGGCCCAGCACCCGTGAGGGGTGTTCTCTTGGGTCTCTCCGGGAGGGTTTCCTAAGGTAGGTGGGCTTGATGAGAGATTAGAGTGGAAATGAACACAAATCTGTATATAATGTAACCAACGCTAAGCGCAGTGACCTATAATGAACTTACTTGGGATGCCCAATCCGGCTGCAAGGTCACCTTTGGGTGGGGTGGCCACATTCAGTAAGATGCCCCCAAAGGAAGTTGCATCTCAGCTAAATGACCAGGAAAAGGAGGAGGGGATGGGGGGGAGGGAGGAGGAGAAGAGGAGAGAGTGGAGAGAGAAAAAGAAATCATGGCTTTTCCTACTGTTTCACTTGAGATCTCTGCACTAACTGCTGTCCATCCGAGTGTGGACTGAGAATTCTTGGAAAAGACCGGGGTAGACCCAAAGCTTCTCAGGCCTGGACCTGGCAGACCAAGGGAGGCCAAGTGTGAAGGGTGGGGGTAGAGAGCAAGGACCCGTGGCTTCCCGGAAATGCGCCTGGAGTCCTAACGTGGCATCGCGGGGTTGAGCTCAAGGGTGTACTAGGCCCCGTGGACCACGCAGGACAGGGCCACCAGCCAGCACTAGTCGGGGGCGGCCCTGCCCCGTCCAGAGTCCCAGGACACTAGAGAAGGTCCTGGGCCCTGGGCAGGGCTGGCAAGGCTGAGATGCTCTGGGAGGAAGATATAAGAGGTCAGGCACCTCCCTGGGGAGGAGGTCCTGAGACCACACCAATCCTCCCCAGTGCAGCTTTGGAGTGAGGAGGCACGGGACTTTCAACGTGAGTCCTCCGCTAGGACACCTCAAGCCCTACCTAAGCCGACATCCCCTCTATCTGGACGGTCACACTGTGATACCTGGCCTTTGAAGCCAGCACTCTGGGCCTTTGAGTTGCTTATGGACGCTGATCTCTCTCTGAGCCTGGAAAAGTGTCTCCTGTTAAATTAGACAGTGGCTGCAGATGCATGACTCCCAGTCTGGGTAGCACCGCCTGCATGACCTGGACTTCCCCGGGTCACTCCCACGACACCTGCCACGGCTGTCACCACAAATACCCTCTTCCTGGGGCTTCCCCCTGTTCACAGACTGTCACCCCCTGGAGAGAAGCCACGGAGTTGGAGGGTATACCTGAAACTCAGTTTCCAGCGTCCTGCTGGAAGGAACAAGCTAGTATCCAGATGGGCAGCAGAGGTCATGCTCATCCTCCTGGGTGAAGGGTGGGGCCAAGAGGAAGAGCTTTCTCCCCCGCTGAGCAGGCCTTTGCTCAGATCCTCTCCTGTGTCCTCACCCTAACTAACCAGTGTCTCTCTAGTTCTGTAAAGGGGTGCTGCCAAAGGAGGAGGAGAAAATTAATTAATGAGGGAAAGAAATGTGTCTCTGATCCAGATGATAGACTCCCTGTCCCTGGGGGCAGAAATTCCTTGGAAATCAATAGCTGTGCATTCATTACCCTCTCTTGATAAAATGCAAAGCTATGAGATGGAGAGAGGGGGGGTGGTCATCTGTGTTGGTCATTAAACGAGAAGGTGGGGGAAAACTGCCCCAGAATTCATGCCAAGACACAGACCCTATGTGGGCACCATTAACCCAGGCAGGGGCCAACTAGTTACAGCCCTTGCCATGCCAAGAACACAGAGCAGTGGCATATGGGAGGGCAGAGCCTAGGCCTACCAGCCATTCCTTTGACCCTTCCTAAGGAAGTGTCCCAGGGTAGCGTGGCGCTGAGGGTATGCAGCCTGGGACAGGATGGCTCTCCAAGCATCATTTTGTACTCCCGTGCGTCAAGCTGGCCTCACAAATCCTACACCTATAGCACACATACCCTCTTCCTGTTGCTTAGACCTGCGCATAGATCATCAACATCTAGAGATCAGACCCTCGTAAATCACAGCTCCTTTTATCTCCACCGCCTGGTACTGTCCCAGATCAGGGCTGGGCAAAGGTTTAAGGAAGGAAGATGAGACGCTGGCCAGGGGACTATGAAAAGAGCAGGCAGGGCGCATCTGCCTAGGGCAAGCACATTCTGTTCCGAGCGTGACCTTCTAAGGAGACCCCTTCCCAGGTGTTGTCACCCCCAATCAGCCTTGGCTTGTTGTGCACTTCCTGACTTTTTCTCTTGTTCCTGGCCCCTTCTCTTCTTTAAGTACAAGTGTTATTTGATAAATCTCTGTTCGTTACAAGTGTCACGGTGGAAAACAAAATGAGGCACAGATGACCTTTGGATTGGACCCTTATTTCCAGTCCCAGCAAAAAGGATAGGGTAGAAGTCTGGCCTCACTCAGAGAGAGAAAAGTACCCCAGCTGCCAAAGAGAGGGGAGGGAGGGAGGGAGTCTTGGGATGGTTAGTCAGTCCCTGACTTCAGAATATTGCACGTCCCAGCGGGGTCAGAAGGGTGAACTGAGGTCTGCTTGGGGTAGGTAAGGACACCATGCCCTCCAGGCCCCTCCCAATGGATCCATCTGGCCACAAACCTGTTTGCCTTTCAGTCTGTCCTAAACCATTTAAGGTCCCTAGAGGCAAGCATTTCCCAGGGACCTGGGAGTCCAGACTGCTGGAGTTTGCTACTAAGAAAGCAGGGCGTTCTGTCCTGCACCCCACAAAAGAGCGTGGGGACCCACTGCAGTGGGTGTCAGAAAGGATTAGGTTAAGATTAGATTATGCCCGGCCCCCCGGTGGGACAGGGACCAGAGGACTCACTCTTTCCCTCCAGCGACGTCCCGCTCATGGTCCATTCCTGCTGAGATAAAGTTGCATTTAGCGCTCCCTGGGGAATCACATAATGGATGAAGAAGTGGCTCCTTCTTGCACCAGCAAATGAACATCCTTCTCATTTCCCTCTCAGGCTGGAAGAGAGGGAGGGGGTGGGAGGACAGAAAGGAAAGAAAGAAAAAGCCAGGGACGCCTGTGGGCTCTTCTTGCGATCTGAATAACCCGAGTGGGTATCCTGAAGACACACACATGTTTTAAAGCAAAGGAGAATAAAATCTGCTGGATTGCAGATTCAGGTTTGCAGAAGTGAGATCTGCCCTTTGGTGAAAATGCAGACCTCCTTGGTATGTGAGTGACCTGAAAGATTATTTATCTGATCTCTGCTTCCCATAAGCAGTTTCTTGCCTCTCTCAAGCTCTCTCACTAGCAGATGTGATAACATCTGGACCGTTATTATCACCCTAGGCAAGAACTGTGTCCTTAGGGACTTAGGCACCCGAGCTGAGACTCCCCTGAGAGGCCCTTGATCTTCCTGCTACATGAGAGAAATATAACAGGTTGGTTAATTAATTTCTTCTTAGGTCTGATTTCACAGTCTTATTATTATTATTATTATTAAAGGCTGGACCAGACAGGTACCAGTTCCTTCAATCTGATTTGAATTAATATTTTGAATTACAATCTCCTATAAGTTAGCTTCATCCTGTATCCTAGGGAAGAAAAACAATATAAGCAATCAGAGATAAAACGCCAGGGGCCAAAACGATGCAAAAGAAAGTCCTTTTTTCAACATCTCATTCTCCCTTCTCTGGAGTGATTTTCTTTTCCTGGAGTTTCCAGCAAAAAGTGTGTGCGCGCGCGTGTCTGTGTGTGTGCGCGAGCGCGTGGGAGTGTGTGTGTGTGTGTGTGTGTGTGTGTGTGTGTGACCAGAGAGGAAAAGATCCTCGGCTACACCCTGTTAACTATTTTTCCCTTTTGATGACAAGAAGCCTCAGATCACCTAGCGCCGCTTTGAAAAGTGAGTTTGTACACGGTGAAAGGAGACAAACAATAAGAGAAATGCCCAATTTCATTTCAACAGCCTTTCCTAAGTAGAAAAGCACAGGCTCCTTGTGGCTCCTAAGTGACTGTCACTGGTGGTGCCTGACACAGTTAGATTCACAACAACAACGAAGTATGCAGAGAAATTAAATTACGTGGAAATCAATAGCGTCTGACTGCTTCAAACAACTGTCTGTCACAGCTATTATTCTCCAAGAGCCTATTTATAAACCATGAAAGAAACAAGTTCTGCAGCATAAAGACAGCATCTTCCGCATCGCGTTTCTGTGTTGTTGTTTTTCTCCACATACAGGGGAATGCACGGGCATAATTTAACATCCAAATGCCTCTCTGTATACATTATATAACAGCTTGTTAGGCACCCAGTCGTGGAGGTGTGCCCAAATAATGCGCACATATTCTGGGTATGCGACAGGGTGGCAGGAAATCACACACACACACGCGCACACACGCACACACACACGCACACACACACACACACGGAAGAGTGCGTGCATCCTCCGTCTTCCTCCAAAAGATGCCTACCCTGAGACAATAGCTGGCCTCTCTGATCTTTGCAGACCCGCGGTGGGAAAGGTGAGGCGTGCAGTGCGCATGCCTGGCCAGCTACAGGTGCATCACCTGCCTTGTCCTTGCTGGTGGTCACTATAAGAGCGGCTCCCACGCGCTGCCGGTGG